GAGCGTGGTTCTAATAACACCAAGGTTGCCGGTTCCATTACCACATAGACCACTGTGAGCTGCGCCCTCCTTGAAAAAAAAAAAAAAAAGGAAGTTATATGCCTGGGATGTGACTACCCACCATGACCTGCCCAATTAGGACTGTATGATCAGGTCACCCTGTGAGGTGACTTTCCCTAGAACCCCTTTTTCCATCCACAGGTCAAACTTTTTTCCACTGGATGCCAGACAACGTACATATGTCCAGTATTATCCAAACCACAGCAGTATAGCTGCGGTTGCAAACCAGTGGCTCGGGCCACCATAACCTGCAAGCATTTCTTTTTTAAGTGTTTGCAATAGTTGGTGACATTTACATTTTTTGAAATTTCACATATATAAATCTAAATGTATGGTATCTCTTGAAGAGATCTGGCCACACTGTGACTTGGTGTGACACGCCACAGGGTGACTTGGGATGGGGCTGCTCTCCTGCTGGCTGGTCCCCAGCCGGAGCCTTCTCTGAACATGTTTGTGGTTGTCAGCCCTGGAGAACAGTACAGTGGGAAGGGGTATAGCTTCTGAGTCAGAAAGAACCTGGTGGACTGGGTTTGCCGCATGCTCCTCATGACCCTCAGGTAAGAGGAACTGTTCTGATGCGTCCGTTCCCTCTCAACCCGGGGATTATGGTCCCCGCTGAACAGGAGCATGTGAGCTGAGGCATGCAAAGTGCTGGTGCCTCCCAGGTAGTCAATGTGAGCATTTATTATCATTACCTTAGTAGTGATGTGTATATTATTCATACACACTTATTAATAATAATGCATCACATGTATTGTATATTATCGTTGTTAATGTTGTCGTTAACTGTGTCCGAGCATCACCTAGGGATCCGATGACCCTCGTCTTGTCTTTCCCCAGGGAGATAACAGCACTCCTGTGTCTGGACTCATCGGGACAGCCCTCACCACAGGCCATCTGGAAAGCCGCTACCTCCCAGCCAACTTCCCGCCCTGGGTTTTCTTCCTGCTGCTTGCCTTCATGATGGCTGGCTGCCTCGTCGCCTTCTTTCTCCTCCATCGTTACCCCAGGCACTGGAAAACCTCCACAGAAGACCTCCTCACCTCCCAGGTCACCCTCTACTCCATCCGGCCACTGAAAGAGGACCTGGGCCTCCCCGGCCCAGTGGACAGCAGTAAGGGCCAGGGGCATCTGGAGAAGAAAGCGGGCCCCCACCGCCCGGCCCACCTGATCTTCATCTATGTCCTGGTGGCCTTCGTGAATGCTCTCACCAACGGCGTGCTGCCCTCTGTGCAGACCTACTCCTGCCTGTCCTACGGGCCTGTCGCCTACCACCTGGCCGCCACCCTCAGCTCCATGGCCAACCCGCTAGCCTGCTTCTTCTCCATGTTCCTGCCTAACAGGTCTACCCCCAAACTGGCCCTGGGAAGCTCTGGGTGGGGGTGTACTTCATTCCAGAAGCCAGACTTCCAAACCCCACCACCATCAGGCTATATGTGTAGCAGTTAAGAATATGGTTCCTGAGGCTTAGCTGCCTGGGTTCAAATCCTGGCTCTGCTACTTACTAGCTGTGTGATATTGGACAAGTCATTTTACTTCTCTTTGCCTCAGGGATTGTTACCTGGAAAATGGGGAAAATCATAGTTCTACCACCTCGGGTTGCTGGGAGTATGAGATGAGCTAATTTTGTAAAGTTTTCAGAGTGGTGCCTGGTGCACAGCAGATCTAGTGCGTCTACCGTCACTGCCATTGGCCCATGAAAAGCAACAACCAGGCAGGAACTGAGGTTCCCATTTACAAATGGAAACCCTGAGGCTTAGAGAAAGGGCTGGCCCTGGTCTAATTCCCAGGACTTCAGCCCTGCCCTCCTGCCTGTAGGACACACTGGCTCCCTTACAGCTGCAGTTCTAGAGGAATGGCGCTTGGCAAATTGATAAAATGCAGATTGAGCCAGCCTAGGCTGGGACCTGGGATTTCAAATTTTAATAAGCAACCTAAGTGGTTCTGACAGAAGGACTTCAGACCCCCGTAGGAGAAAGGCCCACCTTGGGGGTCATGAAACTTTAGGTCCCACAGCCGCCCATCTACCCCTCTGCCTGCATGACCTCACTGGCCTCACAGACCTGAGTATACCCACGTCCCTCAGCCCTGCCCACCCTGATCTGCCACACCTACCTCCCCAAGCCCTGGGAGGAGGGAGAATGAGCATAGGAGAGTTAGACAGAAAATGTCAGTTTGCCAGAAAGCTGAATTTTCTCCCTTGGGGCTTAAAAACTGTGGAGGGAGGCTGGAGGCTCTGAGGAAGCAGGACCAGAGACCACAGGCCTGTGAAATCTGAGATGCCCAGAATGTTAGAAATACAGAATCTGAGAGTCAGGGGATCTGAAAACCTTGGAGCAAGAAAAGCTGAGAGGCAGGGGCAGACCCTCCACTCTCACCCAGGACACAAGCCAGCCTTGATGTTCTGAAGAGTATGGACAGGAAGACCCCGGGGGCAAAGACTTCGAATGAAGGACAGTGTCCTCAATTGTCAGACCTGAGTCTACCTGGGAGGCCACCAGTGGAATNCAAGCACACAGCAAATGCCTGACAAATATTGGTTAAATGAATGAACAAGAACTGTTAGGTCACTGTAGGAAAAAAAAAAAAAAAGAAAACAGATGCATTTTTTTTAAAAAACACATCCCAGCCCACTCTAAGTGTTAGTCATTCTGAGCCACTCTTTAGTTCTCTGAAAATCACCAGGCCTCTGCACACTAAGTTCCCTCTGCCCGGGATATCCCCCCACTCTTTGTCATTGATGGCTTTGTCCCCCAGGTCCAGGAGCACGTGGCACTTGGTGTGGCAGGCCGGGAGTGGGCCAGGGCAGGGGAGTCATGGAGGAGATGGGTCTTTCCGGGCCATCCCACCAACATCGCTGTTCTCCAGATAAGGAAACAGACAAAAATTGCCCAATCACGTCCCTCCAATTACACAGCTATGCTGGGACCTAGATCATAACCCAGAGAACTCAGCTCTGTGGGCGTGGGGTTTAGGCTTTCCGTGCATGGGACCCATTGTACAGAAATGGAATTAAGGCTCCTTACCTGCACTGTCTGCCCTTACCTTCCCATCAGGCCCACTGCTCCAGCCTTACTGGCCTAGAATCATTCCCGCCCCAAGTTTTTTACAAGAGCTGGTCCTGTATGGGTATTTTTATTACCATCATGAGCCACTTAATGATGGCAATGTATTCTGAGAAATGTGTCCTTAGGTGATTTCGTCATTGTACAAACATCGTAGAGTGCACTTACCCCAACCTAGATGGTAGAGCCTACTACACACCTAGGCTAAACAGTATAGCCTATTGCTCCTAGGCTACCGGCCTCTACAGCATGTTACTGTACAAAACAACACAAGATTAAGTCACACAAAAGAGAACAGGATGCAATCAGGAGACGCAGTAAACATGGGATGTATAAGACTGCTGCCAACGTAACACGGCATCGTTCTACAGCAAACATTTTTTTTAATAAGTAGAAAGAATACATTCTAAAATAACAATAAAAAGTACAGTATAGCAAATACATAAACCAGTAACATAGCCATTTATTATCATGATCTGGTATTATGTACTGTGCATACTTGTGTGTGCTATACTTTTATACGACTGGCGGCACAGTAGGTTTGTTCACACCAGCATCACCACTAACACGTGAGGAATGTGCTGCACTATGATGTCACCAGGCGATAGGAATTTTTCAGGTCCATTATAATCTTATGGGACCACGGTCCTAAATGCGGTCCGTCATTGACTGAAATGTCAGTATGCCATGTGTGACTATTGTGGTTTTTTTTTCAATTTAAAAAATAATTTAAACCTTTGATCCAGCTGGAATTGATTAGGGGGAAAGGGGTGAGAAGTAAGAAAGAGACCCAGCTTTGTTTTTCCCAAATGACTACTCAATACTCAATAGCAAGTCTTGCTTTCTAACTGGTCCTATGCAGGAAAATATTTGTCAATGTGTAACTGGCCTCCTTGCTGAACTCTCTCATTAGCTTAATAGCTCTTCAGATGATAAAGGCAAATTCACCCCCTCTCTTTATTTACTTCTTCCTCTTTATTAGGCATATCATTTATCCACTACCTTCTGCTGTCAAGGCCTGGAACAGACCTTTGCCCCAAGTTTACTACTAACCTTTTGCTGTCTCTCGACAACTAATTTTTTTGGATTTTGGTTTTTGATCAAATCCTTGTTGGGGTAGGACCTGAGTTTCTGAGTCGGGGCCTTAATAGTAAAGGAGATAAATACACTCACTAGTTTTTGGTTGCTATAATTGGTCAACGTACATCCTTGAACAGACATCTCTGTACATTTAGCTGGGGTTTTGCTGTATATAAAACAAGAGAGGCTTAAACAAGACAGAAGCTTATTTACAACTTAAACAATGTTAAATAAACAGAATAGCTTCAGCGGTAGGCAGAACAGGGCTGGTATGGCAGCTCTGTGCCCCAAAGTCCTGAAGAGGTCTAGTTTCCATCTGGCACCCACACTACCTCCCATAGTGCAAAATGGCTGCTGGAGTTCTGGCCATCACATCTGAATTCCAGATAGCAGGATGGAGGAAGAGCAGAATGGCACACTCCCTTATCTTGAAGGAGATTTCTCAAGTCCCTGACAACTTCATTGTTCTGGGCTTGATCAGATGGCCATGCCTAGCTACAAGAGAGGCTGGGAAATGTGGTCCCTTTGACTTGGTGACCATTTACCCAACCAAAAATCTGGTCTCTGTAACAACTAAGGAAGAAGGAAAGAGTGGCTAATGGGAAGCATCTAGCAGCCTCGACCTTGGAATACCATACAACCCTCCATCTATTTTTTCCTTCCATATTGTTTCACCAATCATAGTCAGAGCTCTGCCTGAGTTGGCCCAGGGCAGCTTTTTTTCACTGGGATTCTGCCTGCTTTACAGCAGATTCTGGTCTCAGGTGAGGTGGGCCACCATCGCCTGTTTCTGGGTCTTCTCGGAGAGTACAGTGGGAAGCTGAGAAGCGGCAGCAAAGCTCCTGGTCTTTGAAAGAGGTCCTCTCCCTCCTCCACGCCACTGATCCTCCAGGAGGATCTGCCTGTGTTTTGCAGCCATTGAGTTACCTGCCTTGGCCAAAGTAGGGCGGGAAACTCCGCCCTCTGATCTAGTCTCAGCAACCCCTCCTCTCTACCCCCAACTCACCTCTACCTTGCACTTGAGGTCTGTGGTTGCACTTGAAGTCTGCAGCTCACATACCTCTTCCTCATACTTTTCTCTGGGGACACCCCATGGCTTTTCTGCTTGTATCCTTCAGAGCTCTGGACACAAAGTAGATGCTTAATAACCCCTTGTTGATCGAGTAGGAGGAAGTTATAATAAAATTTTGCCTTCTGGAATTACTTGTGTTGTGGTATCCAGAAGTGTGTTCAAGTGTTTTCAAATGCAGTTGAAATCTTTGCTGAAATAGTCATCAGAACAGTTGGCATCTATTGAGCACTTACTCTGTCAGGCATCAGTCTAGCATGCTGCAGGTTCACGGTCGTTGCAATCCTGGTGCTGGTCCCGGGAGCCTCCCCATTTTGCAGAAGAGGAATCAGGCACAGGAGGTTAAGTCATTGGCTTAGCTTGGCAGGGCTGAAGCTGGGATTTGAACCCAGGCATCTGGCTCCAGATTTTACTGCAGGAGAGAACAGTAAGGTGGCTGGAGGCAGTGCCTGAAGTCCGAGACTGAGAGAGAGGCCCAAAACTGGATTCCGGCCCCGCCTTTGCCCCAGCTTGTAAGGGATCCTGGGCAAGCCACACCTCCCTCTCAAACATAAGGGATTGCAGTGCCTATGAGGCCAGGCAGGGCCCAGGCAGGTACCCTAAGGTAAAGAGGGTCAAGAGTGATTGTTGTCATATGGGCATGTATGGTGTGGTCTTCCAGAATATTCCCAAGAACCCAGAAATCTTGAGCTTAGTATGCCACCTCCTGACTTGCAGATTTCGGTAACCAATTGCTTATAACACACAGCAAATCAAAATAACACATCTGCTGCCTAGCCAAGGCCAAGGAGTTACCAATTTACAAATCCTGAGCTAGCTAGATCATCTGAAAAGCTCTTCTGCCTTCAAAATGCCAGATTCCAAAGCAGGCTTCTACCTTCTAAGAGCTTCAGTCTCCCCAGAAATGTTCCTGCATACGTCCACACCAGAAAACCTCATGTGAAGGGAGCCTGGGGCCCAGCGCCGGGCAGCCAGAGAAGCTTGCCTGGGGACAAGGTCCTATGGAAAGCTGGGCTGCAGAGGAGGAAGTGGGGGTGGTGTTCCAGGCTATGAGCATAGCACAGGCAAAGGAGGGAGCAGCCAGGCAGGTGGCAGCTGCCCAGAGGTGCTCCTCTCCAGTGTACCCAGAGCCAGGCTGTTCTGGGCTATTAGTCAGGCTGGCTTCACAGGAGGGAGAACAGAGCTTAAGTGACTTAGCTAAGGTGGTGGAGCAAGACTGAAAGCAAGTCCAACAGCATTCTGCTCCAACACTTCCCAGAGGGGAAGAGAGGCGGCTTTGAGAAAGGGAGGATTGGGTGTCCTCCGTGGAGGAAGGAGGAAGGCAGCCAGGACTTGAGAGTCAGTTCTAGGTGTGGGAACCCTGCTGTGGTGTCAAGACTTTCCCGGGTGAGGCATAGCCACAATGTTCCAGAAGAACGGAGACAAGGAATTAAAGACTGACCGTGTGAGCTGAGCAAAACCAAAAGAGCAGGGGTCACCACGGGGTCGCCGTGGGGGAGAGCCAAGTGCTGCAGGGGACCCACCCCAAATCCCAGCTCCCAGTCTTAGGAGAGCTCCTCCACCCCTGTGGACCCCACCCTGTTCCCCACCTGTGAAAAGAAGTGAGCGATTGGCCCAATCGACATTTCCCTCCAAAACGGTGCTTGAACCACCAGTGATTTCAGGTGGTACCTCAGAGGGATTTTTTTTCCCCTTTCTAATTTTGAATAGTCATGTGTTCATTTTCATGTGAATGAGAAGAAATAACTAGGCATTTCACCATAATGAAAATAGATAACCCTTAGTGAGTGCCTACTGTGTGTCAGGTGCAATTTGAGACACAACAGAAACTCCTTAGCATATTTGCATCTCATTGATACTGTCATTGTCCTCTATTGACAGGTGAAGAAAATGAGGGACAGAGAGGCAAAGTCACTTACTTGCCCGTGGTCACGCTGCTAGTTAAGTGGCCTAGCTGGGTTCAAGCCCAGGCAGCTGGCTCCAAAGTTTCACTCTGGCCTCTCCAGTATTTTTCCTTTCACTGAGGGTAGATGGAAGAGTGACAACACATGTAGTATGACACAGGTCATTGTGAAGGCGGTAAACAGATGGCAGAAAATGACTCCAGAGGGCTACAGTTAGGCAGTCTCCGAGGACCTGTCCAGCTAGGGAGTTCTATAATTTCAGAAGAAAAATGCCAGATTGGAATTTTATATCAGATAACCATATTTTTGTCATCGGTAGTATGTTTATGGTTCACAAGTCAAAACTCTATAAAAAGATCTACAAATCTTTTTGTAGAGGTGCCATAAACATCCCAGCAGTTCCTGAGTATCCTTAAAAGGCTGCTTTGTGTGAATACAAGCAAGGAGAACACATTCTCCCTCCTCATCCCCTGTGTCCAAAAGGCAGCACACTGTCTGCCTACCTTGATTGTGTTCACTTGTCAACATAGCCTCAAGACCTGTCTCTATCAGCGCTGGACCGCTCCCACAGTCCTCACTCTTTTTGATAGGTGCACAGCATTCCAACTCTGTAGGCATTCTTTTTATTGGCCCCTCCTCTCTTGACAGTTACTTGGGTCATTTCATGTATTTTGCTATTACCAACAAGGCCACAAGGAAAAATAAGCTCATACATGCATCATTTTGTCTAGCACAGGTAACCTTTGGAACAATCTCATGGTGAGAAATGGCACCTTGAGTCATTGTTCATTGACATCTCCCACAATAAATGAAGGTGATAATCTTTTCATATGTTTAAGGCTTATTTGTACTTTTTCTCTGAACTGTTCGTACCCTTTGCCCACTTCTCTATTGGGTCTTTCTGTTCTTAATTTCTAAAAATTCTTCATGTATTAGGAAGATGCACCCTTGGTCTGTGATTTACATTGCAAATGTATTTCCCCCACGTTGTCATCTATCTTTTGATCTTGCTGTTGGTATGTTTTGCCTTGTTTGCAAAGGGTGTTTTGTTGGTGTATTTGTTTGCTTTTGTGTGTTTTCCTATTTATGCAGTTGAATGTATCAAACTTTTCTTTGGTGGTCTCGGGATTTACAAGTCATGGTTAAAAAGCCTTTCCTACCAGAAGGTTAGTTATAAAGGAATTTGTTCGTGTTTTCTGCTAATAACAAGCCCACTTGTTCATGAAGAGGGGAATGAGAAGAGAAATCCCTGGGCCCCCAAAACCCAGCCTTTTGCTAGACTGTGAACCTGACATTGCTCACCTGGTATTTTTCTCTGTAGGCCCTGCTGCAGGCTCACCTGGGGAGGTGGCAGCCTCTTGCCCAAGGCAAGCATCACCATGACCCTCCTGACACACCTGTTGGTCTGCTCCTTCGGGATGGGCTCCTGGGTAGCCATCAACGGACTCTGGGTCGAGCTGCCCCTATTGGTGGCAGAGCTGCCCGAGGGCTGGTACCTGCCCTCCTACCTCACAGTGATCATCCAGCTGGCCAATGTCGGCCCCCTCCTCGTCACCCTGCTCCATCACTTCCGGCCCGGCTGCCTTTCTGAGGTGCCCGTCATCTTTGCCGTGCTGGGCGTGGGCACCGTCGCCTGCATCCTCTTGGCCTTCCTCTGGAATGTCACCTCTTGGGTGCTGAGTGGCCAGCACAGCGTCACCTTCATGGTCCTCACCTTCTTCCTGGCCCTGGTGGACTGCACCTCCTCCGTTACCTTCCTGCCCTTCATGAGCCAGCTGCCTACCCACTACCTCACCACCTTCTTTGTGGGCGAAGGACTCAGCGGCCTCCTGCCTGCCTTGGTGGCTCTTGCCCAGGGCTCAGGGCTCACCACCTGTGTCAATGTCACTGAGGCATCTTACACCACCCCAAGCCCTAATACCACCAGGAGGACTGACACTCCACAGGTACCCGGCNCCAGCTCCAGGTTGAGCTGTTGTTCAGCATCTTAGCTGTAGAGGGCAGCGTCACTGGCCCTCATATGTGGGATCCGAACCGGGGCCCTCTGACATCCCAAGCGAGTTCTTAACCATTGCGCCACTCGGCCAGCCCTACTGTGCATTTCTGAGTGTCTGTCTCCTCACCTGTAAAATAGGGAAGATAATGAAGACGGCCCCATGAAATTATTGTGAGGATAATAATGAATAAAATGTATCACATGCTTACTGCATGCCAGGCACTTTTCTAAGTGCTTCCCATGAGTTAACTAAGTTAATGCTCACAACAGGGTGACATGAGGTAGTGCTTAGACAGATGCCCTGAAAGTTTTCTAGAAGGTTCCAGCTTTCAGACAACCAGCATGAAATACTCTGGCTAAATCTTCACATGGAACTCTTCCACAGACTTCTTAGAGGTGGTGGTCAGAGGAGATGCTTGTATGATTTCAATCTTTTAAAATTTATTGAGATTCATTTTGTGGCCTAATGTATGGTCTATCCTAGAGTATGTTCCATGTGCATTTGAGAAGAATGTGCATTCTGCTGTTGGTGGTAGAGTGTTCTATAGATGTCTTTTAGGTCAAATTGTTTATAGAGTTGTTCAAGTCCTTCATTTCCTTGTTGATCTTCTGCCTATCCATTATTGAAAGTGGAGTATTAAAGTGTTCAACTATTATTATTGAATTGTCTGTTTCTCCTTCCAATTCTGTCCATTTTTGCTTCATATATTTTGAGGCTCTGTTGTTAGGTGCAGAGATGTTTATAATTTTTATATCATCCTGATAGACTGACCCTTCTAACATTAGAAGGTTGTCGGAAAAGTCATGACGTATATTTTGTCTATGTTTTTCAAAAGTCATTTATTTATATAAAGAACAAAGATCAATCAATGGTATGTTGCCCATTTTGTTCAATAACCTTTTGCCATCTTTCAGTGAGCTTCATAATTCCTCGTTCATAGAAGGACCTGTCTTTATTTGCGAAAAGCTGAACAAGGTGCTGATTTACAGCCTCATCTGAATTGAACATTACACCACGCAAGGAGTTTTGAAGAGAGCGAAACAAGTAGAAGTCTGACGACGCAAGGTCATGCGAGTATGGTGGATGTGGCAACACATCCCATACAAGCTCCAGTAATTTTTTATGGCTAATCAAACTTGTGTATGGTCTCGCGTTGTCGCGATGGAACACAAGTCCTTTACAATTAACAAGCTCTGGACATTTCTGGATGATGGATTTGTTCAAACTGTCCAATTACCGACAGTACACATTCGAATTGATTGTTTGGTTCCTTGGTAGGAGCTCGAAAAACACGACACCTTTAAAATCCCACCACACTGAGAGCATAACCTTCCTCTGATGAATGCCTGCTTTCCATGTCATTTGAGGTGAGTCATCACATCAGGACCAAGACCGTTTGTGCACCACATTGTTGTAAACAATCCACTTCTCATTGCCAGTTATCAGTCGCTTCAAAAAAGGATTGTTTTCCTCACGTTTAATGAGCATATTGCAGATATTTATATGCGCCATCAAATGAACTTCTTTGAGTTCATGTGGAACCCAAATATCGAGCTTGCTTACGTATCCCAGCTTCTTCAGGTGGTCACGAACGCTTGAATGATGGATGTTCAATGTTCCTGCAATCTCTCGTGTTGTGTAACGTGGGTTTGACTCAATCAATGCCTTTATTTTGTCGTCATCAACCTCGGTGGGCCTCCCTGACCGAGGAATGTCGTTGAGATCAAAATCACCGGCACAGAATTTCATGAATCATCGTTGGCACTGACATTCTTGTAGAGCATTGTCACCATAAACTTTATGCAACTTTTCACAAGCTTGACGCACATTCTTCCCTTAAGGAAGTAAAATGGTAAAATATGGCAAAAATGCACAGTTTGGTATTCCATCTTCAACTTGTAAAATCTCCAAAACTCAACCAAATCGCTCAATTTTTTTTCAGAATGACGCTAGAACTGTCAACTGTCAAATGACCTAGTAATAACATAGATGCGAATGATCTAGTACTTCCAAAAATGAATTAGTGCCATCTATCGCAAACATACGTCATGACTTTTCTAACAACCCAATAAAATATCCTTCTTTATCTCTTGTTACATACTTTGTTTTAAAGCTTATTTTTTTTCTGATATTAATAAGACCAATCCAGCTTTCTTATGATTGCTGTTCACATAACATTTCTTTCCCATCCTTTAACTCTCAGAGTATTTGTATCTTTGACTCTAGAGCGTGTCTCCTGTGGACAGTATATAGTTGGAGCATGGTTTTTTTATCCAGTCAGAAAATCTCTGCCTTTTGATTGGATCCATTTACATTTAATGCTATTATTAATTAATAGAATTGGATTTATGTCTGCCATTTTACTTTATGTTATCTATATATTTCATGTCTTTTTTAGTCCTCTATTCTTCCTTTACAGCTTTCTTTTATATTAAATGAATATTTTCTAGTGTCACATTTTAATTTCTTTAAAAATTGTTTTACTTTTTTTAAAAAAAATTGCTGCTCTAGGCTTACTGTATACATCTCCACTTATCAGAATCTACTTCAGATTTATACTAACTTAATTACAATGAGATATAGAAATGTCACTTCTACATAGCAATATTCCTTCTTCTCCCTATTTGTATATTCTTGTTATGTATATATTATACCTTATATGTTACAAACCCCATAACACGCCTCTAGGAGTGCTCACTAGCAGAAAGGAGGTGAGGAGAGAGCAGTGGAAATCATTGGTTAGATCACCTGCTTCTCCCCAAATCTATTCCAGGCTCCAAATCAAACAGCAGCCTTCCCTCCAAGGAACTATGAGAGGTCCCTAATCCCCCAACCTCCACGCATACAGCCCATGCTGGCTCATAAAGACCTGGCCTGCCAGTGCTCAAGACACTGTCCATTCAGGGCCTTGACCTGGGGTTACACATTGCCCTTGTCGAGGTTCCTCTTTGACACTGCAAGTCCTATTCCTACCACCACCCCCTTTCCTAAGATAGGGAAACAAGGAAGTCCCCCCACATCCTAGCCTAATATATAACATGAATAAGTAACATTTACTGAGAAAGCATTGCATTCCTAATGAAATAGGCAATCATTTTATGGATGAGACTAAGGAGGCTCAGAGAGGTTAAGTAACTGAACCAGGTCACACAGCTGATAAGTGTTAGAGCTGGCGCTTAAACCCAGGAAGTCTGGCTGCAAAGCCAATAGGCATGGTCACTCCACTGTGCTACTGCCTGCAGGTGATTGTTAGAGAATCCATTTCCTCCTGACAGTGGTATATGTTTAACATCTCTAAAGGGAAAAAAACTCCTGTTTCTATTGCCAATTTCTGTGGTGTAAATACTCTCACTGTTGCTGACTTCAAGCTACAAACATGATGGTACTGAATGAAAAGCTGGGGAAAGATAAGCATGATCAGCTCTCATGAGCTACTGCAGGCCACTAAATTGGGCAGGCTAGAAGCCCAAGGAAGGGTGAACAGGAGGTAAGCAAGGGAGAACGGGGGCCTTTAACGTGAATTTTCCCACCAATGAGCTCGCTGGGGCAATCTGAAGTGGTGACTATTATTCCTGTCTTTCAGGTGAAGGAGCTGGGGCTCAGAGAGCCTTATGAATTGTTTCAATACACAGTTACTGAGCACACAATCAGAGTGGGCCCTGGATGGAAAGGCCTAGTGCTTGGGATGGAAAGATGACCCAGACTGGGTTCCGGCCTGCCTAACAGAGCTTGTGGGCCCACAACGGATACACACACACATGTATCCATGGCTCCCATGGGGCCTCCATTCAAGTGGTTAGCATGATGGTTAAGAGTATGGATTCTGGCCCCAGATTCTCCGGTTTCAAATCCAGCCTCTACCATTCACTGGCTGTGTGACCTTGAGCTAGTTACTTAACCTCTCAATGCCTCAATTTTCTCATCTATTGTAATATTGCCTGCCTCATAGCATTGTTAAGAGGATGTTATACCGTAAATTAGTGCAGGTAAAGGGCTCAGAACAGTGCCAGGTGCATTATAAATGCTCAAGAAGTTTTAGCTGTTTTTTTATTATTTAATGTCGGACATGCGACCGCGTGCTCTCAGAACGAGAGAGAGAAGGGATAAAGATATACACAGTATGGGTGATTCTGCCTGGACATGAGCCCAGCTGTAAGCAAGATGTGTGTGGGGGGGGTGAGGGGGTATGGACCTGCTGTTCACAATCCCACACATCTGAGTGAGAGCTGAATCTAAAATTATAATTTGCAAATCTATGCAGTCACTACCACGTGCTGCCCCTCTTTATGTGAAGCGTATTTGTTACTGTGAAGGACAATGTTTAGGAACATGCCCGTACTGTACTTTATGGGTAATTGAAAGGATTTGGGGGAGTTTTTAAAAATGTGTTTATTTTTATAATTTTCTCCTCACATTGGAACCCAACACCCACATTAAATGCTCTCCCAGTTACAGTTACAATATTTCAAAATTATAATTGCTCGAATAAATGGATGAAGATTTTCAAAATGTTGTTCAGCTGGTGGTTGCGGAAGCCAGAGGGAGACCTCGGCCTGGGGGCTCCCAGTCCAGTGCTCTTCCCTCTGCAGTCTGGGCCCTGGCAGACAACCCTAACGTCCTCCCAAGGACCCCTGACCTCAACTCCTGGCTCCTCTCTGAGTAGAGGGGAGGGCAGGTTCACCTCAAAACTATGTTTCAAGTGAGGGGAAGAGGAATGTAGATTCGAGCCCCTCCTCTCAGCTGGCTCTGTGTGACCTCCCTGAGGCTCAGCCTCTATAAAATAGAGGTTGACACCTGCCTTGGCCTATATATACCATATAGTACAAGTTTTCTGCACACAGTAGGTGCTCAAATGCATAGTCCCTTCCCTCTGGCCTTACACAGGCAGTGGTCTCTGGTTGTCTTGCAGCTTTTTACCAGCAGGTGGCGCTTCAGCCCAAGAAGCAGGAAAAGGGGGTCTGGAGGGTTGATCAGCTGAAGGCCTACAGGCGAGGAGAGGCAGCATTCAGAGGGAAGGTGGGAATCCAGGCCACAAGAGTGCCTCCCATGCCACATATACAGACACACCCAGAGGCTCGAATACATGCATAACCAAGGACCAGCGTTAACCAGAACAAGGCCTTCCCTTACGCGACCTCCTTGGATCCTCATACTGCCCTGTGGACAGTGCCAATTTACAGGGGAGGAAACTGAGCCCAGAGAGGCAAAGTGACCTGCACTAGGTCACACAGCAAGTCCATGGCAGAGCTGGGATTTGGTCTATGCCCCTAACAATATTAACAGCCAGTATTTATGTAATTCCTGCATGCGCCAATACTGTCCCAAGGCCTTCTGCACAGATTAACTCATTAATTAAATCCTCATAACAGCTCTATGAGGTAGGTATTATAATAGTATTTTTTTAGCCTCATGTTACAGAGGAGGAAATGGAGGCACTGAGAGGTTAGGCAACTTGCCCAAGGCTACACAGCCCGAGTGCAAGAGCTGGGGTTTTAACTCAAGTCTTTGTTCTAAGCCACTGCACTCTGTGACCTGCTGGGGGCCTGCTGGGAATGGGCACACACATATGCACGGGCACACCCCACTCTCATATTCACACGCTTAGCCAGAGCAGCTCCAAGCTGTACAGAGTGTGAGGTCCCCTGGGTGCTATGACGTGAACAAAGCCACAAGCACACACCTCACATGGCCCTGACACCATCTTCCTTGTCTGGCCACCTCAGGAGCACTACTCCTGAGGTGGTGGTGGGGGGGAGGGGCAGGGAGCAAAGGACCCTGCTAAACACTCACTTTTCCCCAAGGGAGCCTCCTCCTGAAGCCTTTTGCGGCATCCCCAGAGGTCACGGCGTCACCTCTCCCATCACAGCTGCACCTTTGCAGTTGAGGGCAGGATCTCCCTGGCTGCTGGGGCAGAACCGAGACTGGTTAGGGAAGGACAGGAGTGAAGCAGGGAGACCAACGAGGAGGCTGTGGCAACGACTCAGGTGAGCAAAGACAGTGGTGCCTGTGGACCCAGGTGGTGGCTTTGGAGATGAGAGCGAGTATTTGGATTCTGGATATGTTTCGAAGGTTGATAAGCTAACAGTATTTGATGTGTGGGTGTGAGATAAATTGTTCTTATATGTAATAAAATATACCCTTGACCCTTGAACATCATGGGTTTGAACTGCACAAGTTGCACACAGATTTTTTTCAAGAAACACAGCTGGCCCTCCTTATCCGTGGGTTTCACATCTGCGGATTCAACCAACCGCGGATGGAAAACAGTATTTTCCATCTGTGGCTGGGAATCCACAGATGCAGAGGACCGACCGACTGTGTGCCATTTTATGTAAGGGATTTGAGTATCCATGGATTTTGGTATCTGCGGGGTGTGTTGGAACCAATTCCCTACAGGGATGACTGTGTTACAAAATTCTGTAATAAGGTATTAGTTATTAAGTGCTGCGTAACCAATTAACTCAAAACAGTGGCTTACAAGGACAATAAGCATTTATAGCTCAAACAATTTCCGTGGGTCAGAAATTCAGGAGTGGCTTCGGTGGGTGGCTCTGGCTTGGATGTTTTTTGTGAGGCCCAGCCTTGAGGGAGCTGGAGGCCTCACTTCCAGGGGCTCATTTCTATGCTGCTGGTCATTAAAGAGCCTTGGTTCCTCTCCGTGGACTGCTTGAGCGTCCACAGGACCTGGTGGCTGCCTGTCTCCTGAGCCAGTAACCAAGAAAGCGGACAAGATGGAAGGTGCAGTGCCTTTTATGACCCAGCCCCAGAAGTTACATTGTCTGATTTCTATACTATCTTGTTGGTTCCTCAAGGCAGCTCTCTTCAGTGATAGAGGAATTATTCAGGGCACAGATGGCAGGAGGCACGGATCACTGGGGCTATCTTGGAGCTCGACCACATAGAGAACATTTTTCTCCTTTCTTTTTTTCTCTGCCTTATTATTTTTCTTTTTTTAAATCTTATTGAGGAACAGCCATGGTCATTGGTTACACATTGCTTTCATGCTACAATGGCACAGTTGACTCTTTCAGGGAGGGCGCAGCTCTCAGTGGCCCAGGTAGGGATTGAACCGGCAACCCTAGTGTCAGCACCACAGTCTAACCAACTGAGCTAACTGGTCACCCACTGTCTTATTTTTTAATGGTGGTAAAATATACGATGAGGTGTGATCAAAAAATACAGTGAATGTTTAAATTTTTTTATTATTATTATTACAGTAAAAGACACATTTTCATTAATCCCCCTCAAAATGCTCCTCTTCGCTTCAAACATACTTATCCCATCATTCTTGCCACTTCTGAAGCAATTCTGGAAGTCCTTTTTCATGAGTGTCCTATATTCTGGGGATGCCTTGGGCAAAACCCCAAGGTCCCTGCCCCACCGAGCTCACTCCATAGGGAAGCAGACACTAACACGATGTCGGCTAGCTACAGAGCAGCTTTTAGATCAGGGACAGCAGGCAGCCCCAGGCCCCATCCAGCCCTTGGGCCTGGCATATCAGCTCCTCACAACATGTCCTAAAAGTCTAAAAGAGTGTCCAACAATTTTTTTTAAATGGAATATAACATCATAATGTAGATTTACAGCTACTCTTGAAAAATTAAAAGGTCTGACCACTTGGGCCTGCATTCCTACCTGGCTGACATCACCTGGTGTGATGCACAAGCCTTCACATGCCTACAGTGTTGGCTGCTGATGGCTCAAGTGAAGGGGGCTGTTTTACCCAAGGTTACATCTCTGCCAGGGCAAAATATATACAGAGACCTGGCCTGCCTGTGTCAGATTGTGACATCTCTGAAGGGCTGTCCCAGCTCCAGAGCTCCTGATGGGACTTTCTGGGGCCTCTGTTGCAATTGTCTGACCCTGCTTTCCTCACTCCCCCCAGATCTCAAGAGCACTTCCTGGAAAACCTCCTGCACCCAAATCTCCATCTCATAGTCTAGTTCCCAGGGACCGTGACCTTCAAGAAGCCCTTGTGCTTGCAGCTCCCCAAGGGCCTTGCCTAGTCCACCTGGCCATCCTAGCTTTTCAGTTGTTAACTGCTGGCTATGTCCTGGCCTCCCCATAGTGATAACAAAAGGGTGAGCTGATGCTTTCAAGGCAGGGACAACATGCTAATGTGCTAGGTGTTACTCTCAGCAATATATTCATTTAATCCTCACAATAACCCCATGAGCCTATAATCACTACATACTTATTAAAAAGGCTAAATTTTAAAACGACAACCTGACAATATTCAGTGCTGGTGGGAACGCAAAATGGTACAGTCATG